AGGGAATGCTGCCAGCTCTGGGATCAACTGGATCCTTAGTTTCTTTCCTGGGCGGCATGGGAGTGACAAACCTTAGAGAAGGGAGTGGAATTGGAGGATATGTTTTAGGACATCGAGTTAGAAAGCTAGTGGGCCCTACTTTGATTTCAGAAGTCAGCCCCTTTCTCCAAGCTGCCCTTTCCTCGGGAATTAATTATTTCTCATTCCCAGCTTTCAACCTCCTTCCAGAGGCCTTTGTAAAAGAACCCGCTTTCCAGATGACAAGGGTAGGACCTGGGGAGGAACAGCACCCACTGGCCCTTGTGAGAACAGCGTTCCGCCCTGCCATTCCTGCTGAGTTTTCATTATGCATCACATTTGCTGGTCTTTGAGGGATGTTGGACCTGGAGTTCAGAGAGTTCTCAGATGGACCAGCACTAGGATGTGTCTGAGTGCAGCGTCTGAGCAGGGCTGAGCCTGTGCAGGATGATGCTGGGCCTGTGTTAGTAGGGACAGTCACTCACCTACCTCTCCCCTGTGCGACAGAAGAAACACCACCAGGAGTGGCAGTGGCCATATCTCCCCAGGAAGGCTCCCCAGGTCATTGTACTGGAGCTTCATCCTTGTCATCTAACTCCTAATGTCTCCTCAGTGTTGTGGCCGTTATTACATAAGTTTCCCTCTGAATGCCTCACACTGTCATCTGATCAAGTCCTCAGGCCTGAGTGGAGCAAGAGCTTATCAGTCACCACACAAGCACTTGTAGCTCTTGTCTCAGTGCTGATAATAGCCACAGAAAGCAGGAACTGCCGGCTACACGTGGGGTGGTTGGAGATGTTGATCAGCCAGTAGCAGGTCCCTGAGCCCCAGCAACCTGAGTCTTCTGATGATAGGTCCAACACTATCTTCATTTCCTTGGCTCTCTTTAGACCTCATTATTGAGGATGATTATTTGTGGAGGCCCCGTTCTATGTGAGGCTTGGGGGTATTGATATGAAATACCTTGCTTCTAGTGGAGTAGACAAAACCATCAGGGATCAGACAAGGGAGTTGAGGATGATGATTGGATGGATGGACAGAAGGTGTGGCCATGGCTGAAGAGGGCTTGTGCCATTCCTAAAGAACTGCGTGATTTAAAACAATAACAACCACAGTGATTTTGCCCATGGATCTGCGTTTTGCTCTGGGGTTAGTGTGGATAGCTCCCCTCTGCTCCCCTTGGTGTCAGCAGAGGCTTGATGCCCGGAGGCCAGAATCACCTGAAGGCTCGCTCACATGTGCCCAGTGGTTGGTGCTGGCTGTCCGCTCGGCACGTCCCTTCCTCTCCGTGAGGGCCCCTCAAGTAGTCTCTGCACATGGGATTGTCGGGTCTTCCTCACATCATGATGCTTGGCTTCCCAGAGTGAGCATCTCCCAAAGAGTGAGCCAGGCAGAAGCTGTGTTCTTTTTATTACCTAGACTTTGAATTCATAATGCATCACTTCTACCCTATTTCCTGGTTCGTGGCATCTAAAACCCCCCTCAGCCCCAATTGAGAAAAAAGGTCACAAACCTGCCTGTGAGTGGGAGGAGTTTTGCAGTCCTGTAAGAAGAGCCTGTGGGATGGGAGGTACACAGAGGCCATCCCAGCAAAGCACAATCTGTCATGCTGCTCTAGGTGCCTGTAGAGTTGGTCAGAGGCTCTGATGTGTCTAAGCCCAGGTCATAGCCTTTGATGGGCTGGAGTCTGCTTTCTCCAAATCCTGGGTCCTGAGAATGGAAGAGTGTTGGTTCTCCCCTAAATTATTATCATCAATGAATTACTGATACTACGTGAAGTGGGAACAGATGCCAGGGAGCCCAAGCAGTATTCTCACACCACTGCCCAGAGAGCATTTCTGATATCCCAGTACCATTCCCCATAAGAGTTATCTTGATTATCTCCCCGTAATGGAAAAGAATAGGGAGTCATGGAATTGAAAATAATGTTGGTTTTAGACATGTTGATCCCAATTCTCTTAAAAAGCAATAGAACTTTAGTTAAAGAAACAAAGCACAATGTCAGTGGTGACTCTGGAATGGGAACCACAGTGAACCAGAGTGTGGTGTCCAAGCCTTGCCTGTGTGGGGTGGGGCAGATGCTCACACCAGGCCTGCCTCTGTGTAGACTGCCTCCTCACCCCACATTAGCTCAGACACCCAGCACTGGGCTGCATGGCTTGGGGTGTCAGAATACATGTGAGGTGAGGATGGCAGCCCAGTGCAGGGAGTGGATGCCCAAGTTGGGTGAACAGGATGTTCACACAAGGGGTTGTCCTACTAGGTGGTATCGGAGCTCAAGTGGGGAGACAGGGACCTCTTCAGGGGGGCAGGCTGGTGCCGTTTGTCAGAGCAGGCTGTTTAGGGTGAGTTGGGCTTTGGCCCGAAGGGGCTACAGATGTGGAATGCCAGAGCCTACGTGGAGGAAGGAGGGGACCCACATAGGAGAAGATAGGGATCTGGGAGATTTGTTATATGAATCTCTTTTCGGATTAATCTAATATTAAACAAAGTAAGGTTAATGATTAGATGTCTAAAGATTAGTTTATATTGATGATATGAATCTTAATTTCTTGGGTTTGGTGGCTGGAATGTGGTTATGTACGAGTGTCCTTGTTTGTAGGAATTACACATCAAGGTATTTGGGAAGTGACAGAGCACCATGTCAGTAACTTTACTCTCTAATGGCTCAAGAAAACAGAAGTTCTTTGTATTGTACTTGCAACTTCTCTATAAGCTTGAGATTGTTTTAAAATTAGGAGGAAATCCATAGCTTTCACATATACAAACAACCATCAGTTTGAAGATATAAGTATAAAGAAAATCTGTCATAGTAGCAACAAAAAACCCAAGAGGCCAGGAAAAGCTTAACCAGAATTGTGAAAAATCTATTTGAGGAAAACTTTTAAATAGTCCTAAAAACACAAAAATAGACTTGAGAAATAGAAATATAGTCTTAGTTCTCAAATAGGATGGATCTACACCAAAAACGTATAATTTCTCCCCAAAGTAATATATACATTTAATGTGATTCCTATAAAAATATCAATTTTTCACAAGTTCTAGACAATTTCTAAACTTATCTGGAAAATAAGCAAGCAAGATTAGCTAGGAAAATCGTGACAAAAAGAAAAAAGACTAGTAATGGAGAGCATGAACCCCGTCAGATATTAAAAACATCTTATAAAACTTCTTTACTGAAAACAGTGTGTCCCTGACTCGTGAACAGACAGAGAGAGGAATCAAACAGAATAAGAAATTAGAAACATTCCCCAGTACATATGGAAATGTGGTTTTTCATAAGGTGGGATTTCAGATCATTGAGGAAATGATGGACTTTTTAATAAATGATACTGGAACAACTAGACAGTGATTTATTAAGAGGTTAAGTTGGAGTCACATTTCACGTAAACCATCAGAATAAACTCCAAATAGATAAGATATTCAAATATACAAAGTAATACCGTTCATGCACTAGAAATAAACATGGGTAAATTCCTTTATAACTTAGAAAAGGGAAGGCCTTTCTAGAAATGACTCTTAATCCAGAAACATTAAAAGAAAAGATTGATAAACTTTAGTATACAAATGAAAAACTTGTTTAATTCGTATGTCAAAAGCACTGCAAGCAAATTCAAAACACAGACAGCAAACTTGGAAAAATAAAAACTATTGCAACACATATCACAATTAAAGAGCTAATCCATCTAATATATAAAGAACTCTGAAAATTCAGAAGAAGACGACCAAGACCTGATAGAAGAATGGGCAAAAGACAAGACAGTTCACAGTAAAATAAAATTAAAACATAATGAAGTCTTAGCTCACTCATATTAAGAGAAATGGAAATAAACTATGGAAATAATAATTCTACTAAGACACTCTATTTCATCTCATAAGTGGCCGAAGTTCTAAAGTTAAAGAGCGCCCTCAATGGGCAAGGCTGTTTTCTTTGGATTGGTGTGGCAAGATATGTCTTTATTTTTTCTTCCATCATTTTGCTCTCATCCTATCCATGTCTTTATATTGGAGTGTCTCCTGTACACAGCACAAAATTGGTCTTGCATTTTTTATCCACACTGACAATCTCTGCCCTTTAGTTGGAGTGTTTAATCTGCTTAGATTTAATGGAACTACTGATAGGGTTAGGTTGAAGAATATCATACTGCTATTTGATTTCTATTTGTGTGATTAATGTTTTGCTCTTTTGTTCTTCTTTTCCTGCCTTCTTTTGTTGTATCTGATTTTTCCTTCTTTATCGGCTTTTGGTTAGATCTCTATATAGTATTTTACTGAGCAATGTAGGATTGCAATATGCCTCCTTCACATATCACAGTCTACTTTGAATTAATGTTATACCACTTCATATAAGAACATTGTAATAAAATATTTCCATTTATCCTCCCTCCCACCCTTAGAGTTATTTTTGTCATACATTTTGCTACTATATTGCATAAATCCTAAAGCATTTTTGCATTAATAGTCATTAACCTTTGAAAGAAATTTATATAAAGTCTTTTATATTAGGTCACATTTACACTTTTTTTATTCTTTTTCCTTCCTTCCTACGATGGGGATCGTTTCCCTTCAGCCTGAGGAACCGCTTTTAGTCTGTCTTGCAGTGCAGGTCCGATGGCAACATATTCTCATACCTTTGTTTTCCTAAAATGTCTTTTCTTTGCCTTCATTTTTCAACAATATGTTCACTGAACATAGAGTTCCAGAAAGAGGTTGCCTATTTCTTTTTTCTTTCCAAACATTTAAAAATGTCCTCTCACTGTCTTCTGACTTCCATCATTTCTGATGAGAGCTTGTTGTTACTCTTATTGTTTCTATAAAGTAAAGGGCATTGCTTTCCTCTCTGTCTAATTTCACCTTTTTGTCTTCATCTTTGTTTTCTTTTTTTTCTGAAGAAGATTTGGCCTGACTTGACATCTGTGTCCATCCTCTTCCATTTTTTTCGTTTGTGGGATGCCTGGCACAGCATGGCTTCATGAGCGGTGTGTAGGTCCACACCTGGGATCCAAACCAGCAAACTCAGGGTCACCGAAGCGGAGTGCACAAACTGAACCACTGCACTGCTGGGGGGGCCCCTATCTTTGGTTTCTACCAGTTTGACTATTATATGCTTACACATGGATTCCTTTGCCCTCCCCAAGGTTCTCTGAGTTTCCTGAATCTGTGGATGAGGAATGTAGTCTAGCAATAGGCCTATGACGAAAAGGAACAAGGGGCTGCACTGCTTTTATGGTGAAATGCGTTTGTTGGAAAAAAGCAGTGCTGTGTGGGATAACAAGACAGGAAATCAAGCCTGTGAGTTCTGTAAGTCCACAAAGGGGGAACCGGCAGAAGTATGGTGGTGGGCAGGAAGGCAGAGCTATCCCGAGACACGTTCCCAAATAAATTAGCAAGATCTCACTTTTCTTTGGGCCTCTCTCCCCCAGGACCTGGCTTGGGAGTTCTCTCCCTGCCATCCTGGGACCCAGGTCTCCTTGTGGGTCTGGATGGAAGACGGGGTGATGGGAGTGACTTTTGGTGAGTAGAAGCGTCTCCTTTAGGTCATTACAGAGATATTTTGTTTATTTTTATTATTAAATTTTTGTTACAGAGATGTTGAGCGGAGGATCATTTCCTCAAAGGCAGGAGTGAGGTAGAGGATACTTCCACAGACAAAGGAGATTTGAAGGAATCAGCAGGATTAGGGTGCTTACCCACCTCCATCCAAATGTGCCCCTGAGCAGACTTCAGCTCACCAAGCGAGGTGCTGGAATCCTCGTCACAGAATGGCTGCACAGCAGCCCAGAGATTTTCTCTCCAGGGAGGAGTCTGAGCAGAAGCTCAGCTCTTGTTCAGGGATGCCAGGAAGTCATCACGGGGTGTTAGACAACATGTCAGGGCTCTTGCTGGCCTGGCTGTCAGGGCGCCTGGGCTCAGTCCAGGCTCTGTTCTAACTCTGTGGTGCCTTCAGTAGGCCACTGCTCCCTCCTGGGACTGTGTCCCTCCCTCATCTCTCACAGGAGGAAGACCTGCAGCAGCGTCCTCAAACTCGTATGAAAACCACAGAACCATTTCCTCAAGTAAATGTCATATCTAAACTCAATATACATGTGGCTGGGCTACTTTTTAAATAATACTTTTGTTTTGCTTTTGGCATTTTCTTTCTTGTCTTTTTGCATCAAGGATCCAGGTTCTTAGTATGTCCTAGATACAGAGATATTTTTTCGGCTCCAGATCAGAAGCTGCGTGTCCTCACTGCTCTACCCTCATGAAGGTACCCACAGTCATGAAGAGACTGTGTTGCTGCCTGCTTTGTGCACAACAAGGTGGGAAAGGCCATGCCTGTGAGGGTTACATGATCCCAGAGTAAGTACCTCTTGTGGTGAGAGGATAGTGCTGTGTGTGTGTTTGGAGCAGAAGCTCAGAGCTGGAAGGTATGCTCAGCTCCCAGGTCGTGCCCCATATGACAGGCAAGCCCTTGGAGAGATGGCTGCTGGGAGTGTTTCCTGAGCTGAGCCCAACTCAGGGAGATCCTCATTTAGCAAAGAATTCCGTACTGTATGTGTGGGCTCCAAGCCAAAACCCTCCTCAAATCGAAAAATCTGGGTGATCTGGAAACTACGGATGCAGCAGTAACCACGGTGGCCTAAAGAGGAGAGGCCTTTCTCCAGATTTCCAGACCATGTGAACCTCCCTGATTCTGGTTTGATTCTGTGCAGGCAGGAGGTACAGTAACCACAAGGATCATGTTTCCGGCCAGTCCAGTTGGATGGGTGTTTAGAGTCTGACTCTAGTTGCCTTCAACCAAATACAGAATACAGTTTTTCCTACCATCTGAATCTGTGCAATGACATTCCTACCTCCCACTTTTGAGGCTAATGAAGGTAAGGCTGCCCTCGCTGCCCTCCTCCCTCCCTATGGGCTGCCCTGTCCTCTAGGTGAAGAGGAGGCTCCAGTGGACAGAGTGTGGTGACTTCACTCCTAGAAACTAAATGACTGCTGTCATTTCCAAATCCCACACCCTGCTGTCCTAGAGTAACACGTGCTCATGCTCACATGGACTGTGACCAGCAATAGGAACAAAACTCAAGTTCTTTATTCCTGTGGATTTCCCACGAGATCTAGGCCATGTGCACTCATGTGACAGGGAGGGAGAGTTACATGATTTGGGTGAAACTCACACTGTCAGTGTCCCTCAGGTTCAGATGACAGAGTCTGTATTAGGTCCACTGTGGATCCCCAGTGCCAGGCACTTAGGAGCTCAGTCAGGGTGTGTTTGTTTATTGATGGAAAAATGGTGCTTTCCAGTCCTACTGCAGAGAGCGTAGGGCTAACTCAAAAGGCTGAGACAGCCCTAGGTGGCCAGTGAGGGGTCTTAGCCTAGAGGCCAGCAGTGAGTAAGAGGGACAGGCTGAAATGTACTCAGGCTACTGAATGACCAAGTGGGAAATGCACCCTGAGCACTTGGGGAGTCACTGGGGTAAATGTGAGGGGTTGAGCTGGCCTTGCCAGGTGAGAGATGGGGCAGGGGTTCTGGAGAGACAGCCTGCCTGCCGTGTCCTCCACGGGTCCTGCCTGTTGCCAGCACAAGCCTGGTTCCTTGTGGCACTCTCTGCCATGTCATGAGCTGGGCTGGCATCTCAGGGGAGAGGCCCTACTGGAACCACACGGAGCTCTGAGTGTCCTAGGCAGGAGGGCTATAAGGAAGGGGCCAACTCAGATCAGGCTTGTGTGGAGGGAACAGGAGTTGGTGGACTCTGAGAACTCTCCATGGAAAGCAGGGATGGAGAAGAAGGGGCAGCCAGGAGACTGGAGGGCAAGCTGGGCCCCAAGGTCACAGGAGGACAGGGAGGAAACTCAGGCTGGGTGAGAACAAGGAGCTTCTCCAGGGACCCACCCTGACTGTGTGCCCTCTCCCTGGCTGTGGGAGAGAAATATCCTGCTCAGGAAGCCTCTCCCCTCCCCAGTGTGGGTGGCTATGCCATAGGGCTGCAGCCTCAGGCTTACCTGCTTGGTGTCCGGGACCCATGGTGTTATCCCCCTTCCTGTCTGCCATATAACACAGGGAAGGAGGTAAGAAGTTCACCCTGAGACCCAGGATCAGAGAGGTTCATGTTTTCTCCTGATGGTGCTCAGCTGCAGCCCTGGCAGAAGGGCAGGCCCAGACAAACGTGTGGGTCAGAAGGAGCTGGGGAACAGCTTTTCTTGAGGTTTGGGGGAGGTGGTGGTGGGAGGTGGAAGAGGAGGAAGCAGAAAACCGTATATTTGTGTCCTTGACCTTTTAAGGACAGAGTTAGTGCCTGTGAATGAGGGTCAATGAATAAACAAGAAAACAGCCTTTCCTGCTCAGCTCAGAGACATTTATTTAGTTACTGGTGTCATTCTGGATCAGCTCCAAAGAAGGTGAGCTGGTTCCTACAGTTAGAGGCTTTTCATGGTTTTCTTTTTTTTTTTTTTCTTTTATAGATTTCAGTTTTTCCTTTTTTTTAGCTCTCCAAAGCTGCCCGGTACATAGTTGTATATTCTTAGTTGTGGATCCTTCTAGTTGCAGCATGTGGGATGCCGCCTCTGCATGGCCTGTTGAGAAGTGCCATGTCAGCTCCCAGCATGTGAATGGGGAAATCCCTGGGCCACCGCAGTGGAGCAAACGAACTTAGCCACGCCAAAACGGGGCCGGCACCTTCATGATTTTCTTTATCCAGGGCAGAAAACTCGAGACTTTGGTATAGACCCGTGGAGGAATCCCGCCTGATCGTCCATAGGAGACAAGGCCCTGGATCACGTTCTTACACACGAAAGGTCCTCCAGAGTCCCCCTGTAGACAGAGAGTGGTGAGGATTGAGTCCGTGCTTCCCTGGGGCCTGCCCACCTGCATCCCAAGTGCCCTCTCAGTGAAGGCCGGCTGGCCTGGCCTCCATGTGGAACATCAGAGATCAGGGCAGGTCCCTGTGGGCCCCTCAGCTGCCTAGTCCTGACCCTGGACATTGTCACAGCTTCATTTCATTCAGGGGTGCTTCCCTCTCCTCCCCCAGGTCCCAGATCCTCTCCCATGAGGGCGTTGTAGGACTGTTATTCCGTCTACCCTTTAAGAACATGGAAGCAGGCAGGTGAGGCTGACACTCAGCATGGAGGGTGAGCCATTTAACCAAGATGGGAGCCAGCTCTGAGGAGCCACCTGGTTTGACTGCTGTACACCCAGGGAGCAGTTTTCTAACACCTGTGCCCGTCGTGGGGCAGAGTGTTGCAAATTCATGATGTGGATGGAGCACCATATTTAGATGCATCTCAGGCCCCTGGTAGGCTCCCAGAAGACTTGTGAATCCCCACTCTGGCTGCTCCCCCTTCTCTTCCCAGGAGAAAGATCAGAGTCTAGGGTGTGGAGGAGGCCCCACTCCTTGGGTTTGAAAGTCCCAAAACACCACTCTCCCCAGAGCCAAGCTAGGTAGGTGCCCAGTCTCACCTTATAGGAAGACTTCTCTTCCTTCGGGTCTCCCACGCAAAGCTGAGTGGTACTGTTGTAATTGCATAAGTAGGATTTGCACACCTGGTCCTGCTGCACTGTCAACTCCACCTCCTGCAGAGTGTCAGACCCTCTGCCATTTGGAGTGACTCTCCCCCAGCCTGCCACACTGCACACCTCTCCAGGCCTCACCTGGGCTGTTCCCCAGGGCAGGCTGATGGGCTGCACAGCTGTAGTCAGCTCGGCCTTTCTCTCCAGCTGATGACAGAGGCAAGAAAGTCCAGCTCAGCCACTGGCCTCCTGGGCCTGGACACCGCGATGGGTCTGCACTGACTTCCCTCTCCCCTGAGCCACTGGGACTAGTCAGGTGGCCAGGATGGGAAGGAGGGAAGGGACAGGTCCCAGTGGGAGGGGAAGCAATCTGGACCCAGGACAGCAAGAGCAGCAGGGAGGTTCCCTTACCTTTAGTATCATGATGTCATTGGCGATCTTCTTAGAATTATAATGTGGGTGGGGGATGGCTTCCTTCACAGGGATGACCTGCTGGGTCTTCTCCTGTTTCTTAATGTTGTGGGCACCCAGGGTCACCTTGATTGAGCTATGCAGAAAGCAGGGTGGGGATATGGGGGGCGTGGAGTCAAAGGAGATCCAGCCCAGGAGCCATGAAGGGCTGCTGACAGCTGGGCCAGGGCAGGGCTGCAGCAAGGAGAAATCAAAACAATGGGAGCACTGGGCAGTGGGTGACTCTGAGAGGGGATTCTGGGAGCTTTCTCAGCCCTCAGGCAATATTGTGAAAGGACTCTGAGTTTGCCTTTTGACCCTAGTGCATGGTTCCATCCTCCACAGCTGCTTCATTTGACCAGTGTGGTCTCTCTTCTCAACTGGGCCAGTACCTCTCACCTCTGACCCTTTGACCCCAAAGCTTGCCTGTCCTATTCTCACTTTCCATAACCCAGGCATGCCCTCAGATGGCTCCTCTGATGACCTCTCATGCCCTTGAGCTCCCAGGAGCCAGGGGAGCTACCCCAGGCTGCAGGCCCTCGGCAGAGGACAGGGGTCCCTTTTGGGGTCTCAGGAGGTGTCAGCTGTCTACGGTCCCTCACCTTCCCCAGCAGTGAGCAGCGGTCAGAACAATGTCCTGTCGCACGAGGACACCGCCGCAGTTCTTCCTTTTTTCTTTAATCAGATAACGAACAAATGCCATGTAGGGGCGAGAGTGGGGCTTGACCTCATGTCCCCCGATGATCTCCCCTGAAGGAAAAGTCTTATCTACTTGTGCGCTCCCACGGAGTTCACAAGGCATGCATCACCTTGAAGGCTCAGGACTGCTGGGCATCTGGGAGCCTGAGATGGCGTGGAGTTGAGAGGGGCTGGGGTGGGGCTTTCCCTCTAGGAAAAGGAAGAGGAGCAGGCTTGGCCTGTGAATGTGTCCTCCACAGATAATTGGAGGTGAGCATCCAATTACGCATCCTAGGGACAGCAAAGTCCTAGAGTCTCCTGAGAATTCTTCTCCTGACTTTGCTTTGTTTCAAGAACCTGTATAAGGCACTGTTGTCCTGTGATGTCTGGGATGATGATGCTTTCCAGTGGCCAGGTCTTAGGTTTAGGGATCTAGATGTTGTCGTAGCCTGTTTCCCATGGCCTGACACATAGTGGGTGCCCAAAAGCTGTTTGTTGGCTGCATGAAGGAATGGCCCCCAAGGGCCTGAAGGAGAGTTTGTAGGGCCAGCGCTTGTGGGATTCAGAAAAGAAGAGAAGTTCAGGTCTGCAAACAACTGCTCCATCCTGGCAAGAAGGGAGCTGTTAAAGGCCTGGGAAGAAAAGCAGAGCTGGAGAAGGGACTGAGGGGCCTTGGGACTGAGCAAGGCACCAGCAGTCCTCTGGGGTCAGTGGTCCCACCAACTCC